CCTCCTCCACCGCCGCCGCCAGTATATCTGCCGCCTTCTCAGCCACCACCACCACCTCCTCCTCCTCCTCCGCCACCACCACCTCCTCCTCCTCCTCCGCCACCACCTCCACCTACTCCTCCTCCTCCACCGCCGCCGCCAGTATATCTGCCTCCTTCGCCACGTCCACCGCCTCCTCCTCCTCCGCCGGCACCTCCTCAACCTCCTCCATCACCACCCCCTCCCTCTCCTCCTTCACCGCCACCAGGTCCGACATATCTTCCACCATCTACATCATCGCCATCACAATCACCTCCAAACTACAATTATCCAAACACCCTTACCATTACGACACCTTCACCCTCCAGAATTTCGACACCAGCCCCCACTTATTTACCACCCAGAGGAATGTCAATAACTGCACCACCCAGTTATTCAAGTTCTTCCGCATCCACAGGATCAAGCTATTCATATTCGAGCCCAACTCCTACACCTACCGAACCTACAACAGCAGCCTACAACTACCCAAGTCCCACAGGCGCAATCTCATCTTCTCCAACTAGTTACAATTCTCCGAGTCCTACATTTTCCACAACAGCACCTTCTTTTCCAGGTCCAACATATTTGCCTCCAGCAATTCCTTCTCAGTCCTATTCCCCTTTGTTACCTTCTTCACCTCCAGCAATAACGCCACAGCAAACTCGTCTACCAACTGCAACATCGCAACGTCCGCGAGTTCGACCAGCACCGCAACCGCAAAGCAGAAGATACCTACCGCCACAAGGCTAAGCAACCATACCGATGATATTCATCTTCATCTTAACCACTTAAAAGAATGCCCAGTTCATAGTTAACGGACTTCGGCTTCCTGCCTAGTATACCACTAGATTTCTCCAGAATCATAAAGAAGCACCTTACAATTACGTTGTAAATCCTGACATCACTCATGACATGTGTATCACCTAGAACCGTAGAAAAGATGCTGGAAATGTGGATACTATACCTGCAGTTTGCTTAACTAATATACAGTCATAACGGCAAACCAGGGAGGTAACAGTGAGACAAATTTTGTAGAGGAAATTCAATTTATTATAAATACACGTTCCAGTGTGAAACTCACACCATACCATTTGTACGATATCGGCTATTGTGACTACAATCTGTATCACAGCATTTTTCAGGTAGACATTTTAAATGTCAGTCTTAGTGGCTCTACTCATACAAAATCAATATAAACACCAACTATAAACGAATAGTGAATATAGGCTACGCGGCTTTCATAATCGGCAGACTTTTATAAAGATTAATTACTTAAGGCGTGGCTCATTCTGAAACGGAAATTGTATTTTTTTCATTAAAAAAAAAACACGTTTAATACGAGCCACCATATAGCGTCGCCATATTCCAAAATGTTAGCTTATTACATCTAACAGGAAATGGTCAAAGCGAATTATACGAACGAACGATTGTCAAAATGCATATATATCTCTAGGATGATATTTACAAAATAATTACGAGTATCTTTTAAAAATTGATAATTTTATATGCTATGCGACTATAACTTCGAGGATCGTCTGAAGCGATAATGCCACCTTCTTTCTTATCTCTAATCCGAAACGCGAGATTCTCCATTTTATCGCGATGAATTACAAAGATGAAGAAATCTAATGAAACCGGGATTGCAACCCAAAAATATCGTTTTTTTTTACAAAAATTCGATTCTTTTCAATTTTTAAAAGAACTCTTCGATGTATAGTCATACGCAAGTCGGTCGAGAATTAATAACAAGCAAAATTAACTAACTGTATTACATAAGTCATAAGTTCTTAAAAAAAATTACACAAATATCACAATTTCAATAGGTGATTCATTAAAGTGAATCTACTCCCCTAGATTTAGTCACTGATACTATCGATATGAAATACAACCCCTACTATATACATTACACAACCTCTACGTCCCTTAGCAATATATTACACTTGAAGCTCATTAGGGATAATATGTGTCATCCTCAATTAATTCTCATCCCTCTTGTATATAATATACTGATATATAGATACATGTACTTTACGTCGAAAAATCGTTTAATAGCTCTTTTCACTAAACGACTATGTCCATTTTTAACATTTTTATTCTTCTCCACTCTCTGTAAGTCTATCCAGACAATCGTAGGATTTTGACTGAACGATATACCTGTAAAAAAAAAAACTTTCATTATTACATAATATATAACAACTTACATTGCAAAATAAATGTAGATAGAAATTATTATTTATCCAAATTAATGTAAAAAAAAAAACAATTCAATGCCAAGCCCCAATATGAATGTTAATAAAGCACAAGCAAAAGAACTAACCTACAGTTAACATTTTTTTTTAAATAAAGCGAAATTTATCGCCTATGAAACAACCGTTTGTGTGTCGGATCACGTCTGCCAACGTGGAGAATCATTTTTCCAGGTTTTGCAGCCTTGAAGGTTTGTAAGGCTTTAGCATGTGTCAGTCCATCCATAGGAATACCATTAATGGCAAGTATCTCATCGCCAACCCTCAAAGTTCCTTCCTCGGCAGCCTGACCGCTCGCCATGATATCTTTTACAAAAATTCCCATTCTTCCTTTGTTGCTGTCTGAACCACCAACAATGGAGAAACCCAATTTCTTTGTAGTCCCCTTTTCCAGACAGATAGTGATCAAATCCATAGACAAACTAGTGGCTCTTCTAGGATAAGGCAATACATTTGGATTATTGCGCTTCTTCACCACTTGAAATTTTTTCATCCCCGTTACTTTTTGACTTTCATCAATTTTCGGTTCCTCGCATTCGCCCAAACGATCCATCGTGTTGACTGAGACGCTCTTCCCATCCTTAGTAAGTGCACCAACGATTTCACAAGCCGAACAATCGCTCATTGCTTCCTGATCAGGAATATCCGTAGCAGTAGACGTATCCTCAGATGATTCCTTGAGAGCCCATACTTCAGAATCACTCCTGGTGCGCACAAGTACGTCACCCCAAGTATCACCAAATTCTCCCCCAAATGAAAATGTTGGCTCTCGTGCTATTTGGAGCTCGATCGATCCAGCACAATTTTTCAGGGCGTTTCTTGCTTCTATTATTGACATCCCTCGAAGCCTACGGCCGCACACCCTAACGATCTCGTCCCCCACACGAATTTGTTTAGATTTCGCACCTTCTCCATTGGGATCCAATTTAGAGATTACGTAAAATGGTCTTGCAGCCTCGTGTCTCTCTACTGAGATACCTAAACTTCCAGAATTCTCAACAAAAAGTTTTGTCGTCTTCAATTCTCGACGCACTAGACGTTTCGAGACTGTCGGTGGTGGCATTGAAGGATTCGAATACTCTGGTCTTTTAATCTTATTGCGTAACTCACTCTCAACCGCATCTGGCTCCATATTCGAACGTGATCTCTTTGGACTATAATATTGAATCGGATCAGGCATTATGACTGCAGGTTGAACCTTAGTTGCTGGTGGACTGTCTCTGCAGGGTGAAGCTGCATTGTCCAGGAGATTTAGGACACTGCTATTGGAGATCCGCCGATCCTTTCTGCTCGCCTGATCCTTATTGTCCTTGTGAAGATTCCTAAGTCTCACTCGCTGTAAAAGAGGCATGGAGTCTTCTAGACTAACCGGTGAGCTCTTCACAGGTGTACAGTGGGCAGGATTTGTTCTAGTAACAATATTCGACGTGGAACTGTTTATTCCCATGATGACTGAAGTTGGTTTCGAGGCATCCTTACTAGAATGTGACATGGCGTTAACGGCAGTCGATTGCACGGGAGGCTGTGTGAAATATGCCGTTAGTTGCGTGTCATTAAATGCCTCGAAAGTGTCCTCGTCGCAGCTATCTGTGTCGTCGTCATACGACAGTATGGTGGTGTCAGTACGAACAGTCTCAGTTAAAGAATTGTTCATGTTCACCACAGTCTCTTCTAAATTGGATTCGACTGAATCGTCCATTCCTGTGGTAGCGTCCTTTTTCTTAGGGGTGCTAATTGTTATAGATAAATCAACTCCTTGATAATCGTCAGAAGTAATCGAGAAGCTTCGTCGTTGTAACATCGGTGGTACTGATTTTCCACTATCAGGGGAATCCGCGCCAGTCCTTGTACTATCGGAATCATAGCCACTTTCATCACATCCCAATCTTAAGTTCGTCATCAGATCCTCGAGACCAGTAACAGCATAAAATCTTCGTACGTCATTCCTGAAAAAAGATTCTACATTAGGTTACGAAAGAGCGTAACATCCAAGACTATTGATCGTATAAAATCTGTGTGAAAATAAAGGTAATTTTAAGCAATATGAAAATCATATGAAGACTAACCTGTCAGTGTCGCTACAACTTCTGACGGTTGTACTAAATAAATTTCTTTTTACAGTGGACGCTTGATCCTGAGTCTGGGTAGAGGCGTCGCTCTTGTTGAGATCAACGGATAATGAAACAGGTCGTCTCTTCGGACTGATACTCCTCCTGATAGTGTCCAGTGTCTGCCGAGCAAAATCAGTCCCCTCTTGAGTTCTCAGTAGCCCCTGGTTTTTCAAGATGAAGTCCAGAACGCGTTGCTGCTCCTGAAGATCCTGAATGCTACGGCTGAGCTGCTTCTTCTTCTCGTGAAGCGTTTCTCGACCTGCACCAGTGTCTGATGAGATGCGAAAAGATGTATCCTTGATGACGCTATCGCTTAGGGCTCTGTCCATAGCGAAGTTATTGGAGCTTATCGTATCCTCTTCTTCAATAGTAACGTTCCTAGAACTTGCTTCGGAGCCAATGAAGTTGTTATTCCTTTCGCTTGTCCTGAATAAATTGCGTAGAGATTCTACTCTGGAGATTCTCTTTGGCTTGGGATATTCCGGTGACAGGGAGATATTCAGACTCTGAAAAAAAAATTAATACTAAGCAACACGGTCCTCATCATTAGCCATATATATGATTAAAGAATGATATCCATGATTATTTGAAGAATTTGTATGTTTATAGTTTTCTTTACTCTTTTTACCTTTTCCTTAAAATCCACAGCATCACTACAACTTTTTCGATTTGGACTCCAACGCCGTCTACGTCCTGATACGGAAAGTAATTCCGAACTATCTGATCTCTTAAGCTGATCCCATCTTCGACCAACTTTTCGACCCCATGTAGAAATTCCTAAAAAAATATAAAAAAACATATCCACATGGTTAATAAAGTAATGTCGGGTGAAATACTCCGAAAACGAGAGTCAATGAAGAATTTCAAAAAGAATACCTTTGCGAGCAGAAAATGACGAAGACTGAACAGCCGGTTGTTGTTCAGCATCCCTGATCTCGGTTTGCGACGTCCTCGTGGTCGAGTCGCTTTCATTCTGCGATAATTTCTCGGCCGTCTCATTCTCATTAGAGATCATCGCAAGAGCACCATCCTGAGGTATCGGCGTGGCGGACACGAGCTGCGGACTAGGATCCGAACAACGTCGTTTAAACAGGCGCATTCTGTCTTCTGAAACAAGTGAATGAAAGAAAAAGTCAATTATAAAAAACAATTACAATCTAAAACGAGAGAATGAATAAGTTCTGCAAATCCATAATTGTGAGTTCAACCATCAAGTAATCAATGCGACAACCCATGTACCCATAGGATCCCTGATCGGTTGAGCGTTCACAAGATCATTGATATCCTCGCTCGAGAGGATAGCAGCGATCCTGAAAGGGCCAGTCAGCCTAGAGTACGCAAACTATATAATACTTAATATACGAAGAAACCGGGCTGGTCCTTCCTCGGGATCACTTTCTAAGCATTCCACCGGTTTAGCAAGGCTTCCTACAATGGCGCACGGTCCACGTTCTTCGACTCTCGGACTCCTACTTGCACCTCCTACTTACACCTCTGCGTCTTACCTGGTACAGGGTACTGCACTCTCAGCCTCCAAGATACACATAGTCCGTGGAATAGCTCCAATGTCAATAAAGGACCCAGTTGTCCCACAAGTAAATCTACGTCAACCAATACGACTGCTGCGTCCACCGCCTAAGTCCTATATATCGCATACTAGAATTCTCAAGTTGGTACTCAAGTAAAAATTACACGCCATACGGCCTTCGTGTACCGTTCGAGTTCGACCTTTCTCATGCCGGCAGGATACAATCCGATAATTGGTGTCGACACGAGCCACCCGGTACGTGGCTAGCAGCAACAGTCTGGTCTCCGGAGAGAACAGGGTGTGGAGACAGGGATAAAAAAATCTCGTTGCGTGCCCACGTGTGTTGCGACCTGCCCGTATAAGTGCATATCGCTTACGCATCTAGCTATAAGAGTGCAGACTGCATTTTTTTTCTTCATCGACGCAAGAAAATGCACGGGTGCATCGTGAAAATTATGCATCCGGTCCAGTTTCCTATACAGAGACTAATTCTAGCATACAAGGTATAACAAAGCTTTGATTCTTGCGTAGCGCGAAGTGGCCTTTTTCTTAAGAATTTTCTCGTAAATTTTCATCTGCTCGAGCCATCTTGGAAAAGTTACTGTTAGTAGAAAATCAGTTAATTCTGTCAAGAGATACGTGTCACGCTTGAATGTTTCATTCATGGTTCTTCATTGACTTTTTCTCTCTATCTCTCCCCCCCCCACCCCACCCGCTCGTTCTCTCTCTTTTTCTCACTCTGCGTGTCTGAGCTCATTTCCTCCGAGAATAGATGCTGCTGCGGGATGCGTCTCGTACGCAGGAAGTCGAAATTTCCGGTGGATGCTATTTCTGATCCGTGTTTCAATGTTTCAAACGATTGTGGGTTACGTTGTCCCTCGATGCCGAACAGAGCCGCAATAGCTCACCTATTCCAGATAACGGTGCAAGATCATAGGTGATGCAAGATGCATTACAGTTACTCTTGACTTTTAAAATAACGTTAACTGCATTAGAGACTCTATTTGCTCTAGAGGCTATGCGATCGCGTTTCGACTCAATCCAAAGCAGCATAAGCCGTTAACAGCGATAGTAATCTTCTTGAAAAGTAACCTAACAAAAATAAAAATAAACAGTAAGTTGCTAGTTTCACATTCTCAAACTTATAGACACTTGACTTAAAATCGCTCGATTAAAATGTCTTATAGTCAAAATAAATATTAAAAAATATATGAGAACCATCTTTTTTTTTATTACAAGAAAATCGAAAGCGCCTCTTCGATCTTTAATCGCCATAGAAAGTATTCTAAGAATCATGCAAAAGAGACCCGGTTTACGATCAACCTCTGGTAACAGCCTGCCCTGATATCCTCTTACGAAAGTCGACCTCAGCTTCAAATGAAATAGCAAATCGACCCGATCGTCAGTTACAACAATGAAGTCGGTACTACATCAGTAACGACGAATGCTCTTTGATCTTAAAAAGTCTCTCAACAGACCCAATGTACTCGGGAAGCCTCAAAATACTAGGTGTTGAAGCATCTTCAAGCAGTAAGCAACCGAGGAATAAAATACATAATAAAATGAAAAAAAAAGGTGAAGACCAGAAATATTTGATCCGACCGAAGAAACCTACTTTAAAAAATGTGTGTCAGACGAGGCGGCGGTTGTCCATAGTTTTACTTTCTACGGTGCGTCGATAAGTTGGAATAAGAGGAAGAAATAAAAGGTATTAAAAAAAAAAAGGCAACGAACCACAACAACCAACGACCGAAATACCATGGCACCGATTTCATACCGGTGACCGTCGACGAATCATTAAACATACACGGGCAAACTGGTATATCCAGCAGCAAGCAGCAATCCAATGCTATGGCGCAGCAAGCCATCCAGCCAATCACGGAGCGTGATATTTGTAGGACGAAGAAGGGAGATACGGCAAGCGATCGCAAAGCATAAGAATCAAACAGAATTATTTGGAATTCCCTTTTTGGAGAAAAAGGGGGATATGCTCCGAAAGTCGTATGCGTCGGCCCGGATGAGCGTCCGACTGCAAATAAGTTATACAATTTATTGTTACGCCTGTTAATTACTGACACGGCACTGTTATCAAGACGCTGGAAAGTCTCATCGGGTGGGACCTACTTTCCGACTTAAACGAACCAAGTCTAATGCGATCGTTCGCCTCACTGAGAGCGCCAGAAAAACATTAGCAGAATAGCGGACTCGTAGGATGTTCAGCACAGAGGTACCCTGAGGTAGATCACGTGCATCGGACGTTGCAAGATTTTACTTTGAGATACAACCACTTTTACTACGTTTCGTCTTTTTTTGCATTGCTGGGAAATTCGCAATCGGCTTTCAATATTTGGATAGAATTGGCAATGGAGTTACGAGCGTGGGAGAATCGAACGAACGGAAAGAAACCTGCGATAAATGACACGATGCCATCTGCTGGTAGTTTGGAAGCCCTGAGCATGGGGTTTTACCTGCAGGTTCCCATGGACGACAGGTATACACAAAGGTTTCGTTGTCAGGTGGTAGCCTACGGTAGCCTTTTCGAAAATCGGGCTTTTCATAATTAAGGGTGTTCCTTTGGGTAAGGGTAGCTCATTGTTCGGTACGATATAGTCTGGAGTTATGGCGTGCGTTAACAATACCCCATAAACAATAGCATTAGTTCGCATTAGGTATAATTTAAATTGATCCATAAATGTACAAAAGTGGGAAACGTAATTTTGCATGAATTTATTTTAAAAAATCGTTTAAGGGTGATTGAGGCATACTTCCAGTTTAATGACTGTTTGGACTATAATAATTAAATACGTATTACTTCTATTCTTTCTGTGACCGGTAGCCAAACGAGGTCCCGTAAACCCAAAATTATTATTCTGCGAGATTCGATACGCATGGAAAATCCGCAAAACGGTATTCCGCCGGAATTATATTAGACGCTCGACAAGCCACGACTCAGAAATCAACTGGAATCGCACATATAATTCTGGAAGACGGTCGTGAGTAGAAACAAAAGGACGAATAATACCGTAATGAAGTATAAATATACGTATTTCTTGGAAATCTAAACACCCTCGAGCAGCTTTTGCAAACAATTACTTATTATTCGCCCTTCGTAGTGTCGGCGGATTTTATTCGCGACTCGTGTCTGGAGCACGGATCGAGATGATTTCAAAATGGTGGGGATGGGTTGACCGGCATGAAGAGTAGATAGCTCGATAGGTAAACCGTGAACGAAGTTGAACAGAAGCAAAAACAGGGATATGGAAGAAAAGTGAAAAAGAGATAGAGAGAAATCAACGGGAGAACCTAGGGCGGGAGGGAGGGAGGGAGGGAGGTGTGTTTGAAAAAAAGGTACAAGGATCCATCTGGAGTAACGAAAAGAGGGATAGAGAGGTTCGGAGGAGGAAGAAAGAGCGAAAGAAAGAAAGGAAGAAAGGAGGGAGGGGGAGAGGGAGAGAGAGAGAGAGAGAGAGAGAGATAGTTTTACTACAGAAGCAGAGGTTCTACCATGACTTGGATTACATTTTTTCGAGTTTCACGGAATTAAAAAATTGCTCTCCATCCTACATGAAAGAGACTCAAAACGGTACGAGGAAGCAGGAGACGATAATGATCATTAACGTAGCAGAGAGAGAGAGAGAGAGAGAGAGAGAGAGAGAGAGAGAGAGAGAGAGAGACCAACTCTTGAGTTCGATGCCCGATTGCGAGGCTCACCATATAATATAATACATACCACTTCTCATGGTTTTGTTTCTTTTAGTCTTTTTGTCCTTTTTGTTCGATCTCTCTTTTTTGCGACCATCGAATACATACAAGTTTGGCGGTACATGACGTCACCGATCAACAAATGAACAACCACATACAGCAGCATACAGGTTGCTCAAGAAAAGATTTAGGCTTGGACAATGTGTACCTTGGTCGCCATGGCGATATGGATTGTGGTGCATACATACACGTTCAATTGGTAAATTTATTGTTTTCCTTTTTATTTAGACTTATGTCCAAATCAATGGCCTTGGAAAAATATGTACCGTGTGTCTCAAATGACATTACAAATTTTCTCTTCTACTCAAAACATTCTTCGAGACTGTTGAAAAGTGCTTACCTTGTTTGGGTATCCCAGTGAGGTATTTCCCGTTATCGTTAGTAAATTGGTAGTAATATTCAAAAACGTTAACTTAGGCAAATTACGGTTCCAGGTAACGAAGCATACGATCGTTCCTGGTAACCGTATTGAGGATCAATAAAACCATAAAGGCTAGGATTTACTAGGTACATTTTGGCAAATGTTTAACGAAGTAACTAGAAAGATAGACATTTTTGGAAATACGTAGGAATTTGTCCATTACGGAAACTAGACTATATGGCTCATTGAACTTTGTCTGATTTTGTGATCTTTGGCAAAAACAACGTTATACATTTCGTCATGCATTTTAATGACATTACAACGAATCCATGTCATCGTATTTAGATCGCGCCTACCAATGATTCCTGGATCATCTGTTGCAATTTTTGAAAAAAAAATATAAAACAAACGTCACGATGATAACCTATCAATTATACACAACTCTAAAAGCAGTTTGTCTGGACGAAAATAACTTTTAAAATTCAATGTTGTGCACAACACAAAGGTACCAGATCAATGTGACACAAGAGGGAGAATTTAAAGAAATAAAATACAAAGTATCTGTCATAGCAAGAAATATATTTCTTGAAAAACAGTTATCAAACACGGATACCTCACGGTTAGGAAATAATATCTCAATAATGCAAACGGACAACGGTATCTTTAATATCGATAGTCACAACAAAAACTAAACAATCCCAATAGTCGTCCACAAATCAGCAAATAATACGACCTCAATCTTCCGTTCGTTTTTCACGAGATCCAAGTTACTATTTATGAACGGTGATAATGCCGTATCAAAATTAAAATAAATATTCACCACGAATTACTCACCTTTGACTAGAACTTTAATCCCTAATACTGACAAAGAGCATACTCCGCGTCACAGGAGCTCCCTTAGCCACGTTCGTATGCGTATATTCCGCAAGTGTCTCACCAAAAAACAATACGATTATTCCAGTACCATCCGACAGGATATTATTAATTCACGCTCTCGTCAACTCCTCTAAAATATCTCTTTGATCAACTATAGTGATACTCGACAAGACTCGCGGATATTTTGCTCTCCGACGATCGCACAACTAACCGCCAGCGTTTCTCTCTCGATACTGACGTGGTGTAGCGCCGCTACAATAGCCGATGCACGTGGGCCTTTGGTGGGGATTATACCATGGAGTCTCATTGGGTCTTCTAGGGTCGACTATCCTACCGACTATTGCAGTATTTCTAGGATGAAACTCTTCGGAAAGTTTGATAGGTCGCACAGTGAAGTAAGTTGGATAGTACTTGAACGTCGGTACTTACTTTGTACGGTACTACTGATGTTAATAGCTAGCAATTCGATAAATTGTAAGCTACCAAAGACAGATGGTACGCGAATAGCTAGAAAGTCAATAATTTTTAGATTTTTGAAAATCGCAATTTCAGTCAAAGTGAAATTATTGAAACTAATCATTATACATACGCATATAAGAAACGTTAAGGAGATATACAACTATTAAAACCAATTTAACTAACCAATCTAAAATTTTTGTTTTTGACAGGTACGTAATCTTCGTGTGTGTAAAATTTTTATAAGATTGACCGTCCCGTTTCTGATATATACGCAGTAAAAATAATGTAAATTTCGAAATACAGATATACTTGCCACGTTAATTTTCTGTCATGTACCCCGACTTCTGAATGGTAATAATTTATACAATTTTTATGAGACAATTATTTTACATTGAAAATGATTACCACAGTATTTTAATGAAGGCAGTTGGAATTATTTTTTAACTTTTCACAACAATATTTAAACAATATAGTGTATTAAATTTAAACAATATATACGTCATTGCTCCTCGTCCTGGCTCAACGATGATATGTACCAAATATTTGTTGGAATGGCATTATACTATTTATTCGCAAAATGAAAAAACCTGCTATGCATAGGAAACAGTTGTATTTCTTTGAAAACAACATATTTCATATATGGCAATATTTTTTGACAAATTCTAAGTTTGTTCTCCGACTTGTTTAGTCGAATGTAATTTCTCTTTGTACCGTGTAAAGTACACAATTTTTATCGTAAAATTCATTAATATTTATATTATTAATTGCTGTCTATTTTTGTTATATATTACCCTAAAGAAAGATGTTCTGTTAAGTCGAATTTATTCCTATTTCGTAACTTGATTTCCCTAAGCTAAGATAAGGTCCTGAGTCTCTCACGGTATTGACGTATGTATATATATATATATATATATATGTAGAGTGTATACAACCAGCATGTATAAATGCAACGCACTTGTTACATAGAATTGATTTGATTCATCCAGATTCCGAGGGCCTGAGTCTCTCACGGTATTGACGTATGTATATATATATATATATATATATGTAGAGTGTATACAACCAGCATGTATAAATGCAACGCACTTGTTACATAGAATTGATTTGATTCATCCAGATTCCGAGGGCGCGTATGTACCTGGTGGTATTGCAAGGGCCTGCCTTGTAAAAGAACATGGAAGAGCGTAAAAAGAAACAGGAGGAACAGGTTCTAGATTCATTCACATCTCAGGAAGACCTTGAGCTCAGCAAAAAGCATCCCAGAGTAGTTTCTACCATAGTTCAGGATCCTACCAATGTCTTGTAGTATCCTATCTATCTGACGGACAGCATAGAAAGAATATTGTAAAACAGAATATATATAGTATATAAATATATATATAAATTTCATTGTTTCCCATAAGTTCAAAGAGTGCAGGAGAAATTAGGATGCATTTAATTCAAGATTTATCTTTGACGTGCAAAATACCTATATAGACAAAGGAATTCTAGGCGCAGGGAGTCTCAGATGATGCAGCTACAGCATCTGAGCCCCGATGAGAATCTAGATACTTTCCAATTCCTTGAACCTAACTTATACTTCTCTATATGCATTATCTTAAAGTACTAATCTATAAATGTTCAGTGTGGAATACGTGGGCAGCAGCAAAGACCGACGTGGCGCTTAAGAAATACTCCGGGAGCCCACGCATCTCAAATCTGGACAAGCATGAAGAATTAAAGAATTCAAATGATTTTGGCATTTTCGAGGTAGAGTGCCGGCATGCCTTATACAGCCCTGGAGGCTCCGTCTCCAAAATAAATAAAACCATTGATATAAGTGGAACCAGGACACGCGTGTCCTTTTTCATTTGGTGCGTCCCACGTGATCGAAGGAAATAAAAAAAACTACTTTGCACAAAACACAAGGTAAGTTTAAGGCACGTGCAAAATATCTGCGGAATATTTAAATACTTCATAGGTTAACTTTGCATGGTTATTAAAATATTTTTGTACTGTTTGATAAAAAGATTTATTTTTAAAATTTCACTACCTCCCGATGGTAACGTTCACTGAATTTTATTTTTCACGTCCGACGAGTATCGATTTGTCAAAATTGAGCGAAATTGGAAAAAAAATTTAAGTAGAAGATAAATCTGTTGCTTGATTCGACTTCTTATACCTACGTTCACTCATGTCGTTTTCTTTTAAAATACTGGTTTCTACGTCCGATGAGTATCGAGCAGTTTTGCCAATGTCGTCGACTTTTAAATTTATTTTAATTTATGCAAAACGATGATATTCAACCCACAACGGCAAACACTTGGGTGCGAGGTCCAGCTCCGTCATAATTTCCGATTCAAGCTAATCGAGATCGAACACGAGAGAATAATTAACGTCCCGCAAAGGATTTCTAAAAGTTTCAAGGTTGACCAGAGGCAAGCGAGTTTCGCTCTGCACTCAATCCTGTGGGAAAGAACGTCCATAAATAATCTCAGGAAAGGGAGAGAAAATCTGCATAGAAAGTAGTCGAAGTGCGGTACCCATCACGGAAAATTCTTCGTACCTGCTGGACTTAAATTTCAAAGAATATTCATAAACGTCATCCCGACTCAGCCGGGATTATCCTCCACGACATATTTCAACACCTTAACCATCCTAAGTTTTATAACGAAATAAAAAAGAAGAAGCTTAAAAAATAAATTTTCAATTAACCCAACGCCATATATGATCAATTAGAATTACACGTTAGTCACAGGCCGCTTATGCGACACAAAAGAGCATATGGCCTTAGCAAGGGAACATATCATTTTTCAAAACCCACGCACCAATTAGCCATCTACTTGTTAGTCCTGATAGCACTGAGCCATTACAACGTGACAGCATCTCAAATTTACCAAGAATATCCCCATGAATATCAAGAGTTTCTTTATCGACGTTTAATCACAGATAAATATATATTACACCGTCCGATGGAAAAATAGTTAGGCATATATGTATACGTATACGCACTATCTATCTACATTTCACCTGTTATTTTGCATTGGTAAAATGAATATTTCATCCATGGAGAAACAAACGCATCTCCTGCCCGATGTAAATGACTAATTACAGACACGCTACCAATGTAAGCTGATAATTATTTCGAGTAAAGTTGATAAACACCAATTAACAGAACGTGGAGGAATGACGACTGCACAAATTCGTCAACGGCCTAACAACGGGCAGGTGAGCATTCGCGTCATGACTGATGCAAACGTGCATCCGTCACCCTTGTTGAACACCTACAACCCCCCACAGTAATACGCATTACACACTACTCGTAGGGTAGTTCGGACTAGGTGGCAGAGTTTCAGCTGGAAGGAAATTGATATTAATTATGTTCTCTGAGGTAGTCAACGGACAGCCGGCTGTGTAGTTACATTGTCGATAATGACGAAAACTGTAAACGAGTTATCGATCCGTACCGGATCGTTTATAAATTGAAAAACGGTATATCCTTTTGAAAGGACAGTACCGTAGGCAATCTTTTTAAAACGTAAACCCACTGACAATCTGAATCCATTCGAAGGAGACTATCCTATGAATTTCCTGTGGCAGGATAATAAATTGTCCAATCCAATTTAGCAAGTCTCCGTTTCGCAATGGTAACCGCGTAATTGTCAGCACCGAAATAGGAGAGCCGTGCCTTCCTACTGATTGGATTAAAAAAGGCCTGTCGACTATTCACAATTTCGCGTTTGGCCTTCTCAATACGAACGTTGGCCGTGCCTAATGTATATGTGATTCCATGTATGCTGACAATGCGGGTTAAAACAGATGCTTGATTTTTATTGATTTATCGAAGTGCCCATCGATCTATCTGACTGTCAGTTCTCTATCGCCCTCTTTCTCAATCTTACGTAACTCTCTCCGTCCTTATACCTTCTGTCCGCTACTTGTCATATCTGCCGCTTGTCTTTCGAATGGATCTGATTCTCGCGGAAGTTACTCCTGGCAAATAGCGATTTTACTGGCATCTACTAATTCCCACTTGTAATCCAGGGAAACTTGTTAAAAAAAAATTCGCACAGCACGCACTCCCAGGTTTCACCTCGATACGGGATTTAACGAGGGGGCAAATCGTTTTCTCTCCCTGGATTAATGTTGTGTGCATTCCTGCATTTACTGCGCGAATGCATGACAATGCACCGGGGAGATATGCACTCGCAATAACTGTAAACCTCGTTCGAGTATGATCGTAGTAAGTTTAGTTATTTATACAGGATAATATAGGTAATTAGGAAGTTTTATTTTATACTAGTACGGTAAATAATACACTAGATAATTATTTACTGTGAAATCTTGATGATTAGTAATGCCATTAACGTGTCTAAACTATTGTACAAACAGAAAGTCTGAGACAGAGGCGATATGACGTTTATATGAGCGTTTAGCCATGAGGAAAGGATTTCTTACCAGGTTTAATCTCTTATGAATATTTATATATTTATATATACAGTTGACAGGTAAGCACCCTAAACGACGTTCCCTTTGCATACATCAAGCCTGAACGTATCTATTCATTGTGCATTCAGTGTAACTAACAACTGGGATACTTGTGCACATCTTTTTTCAAAATAACTCTCGCCACTGTTCCAGAGACGGTTGCACCTTGATTGCAGATACCATAAAGCATAGAAAAGACACCCTAAAATTTACGATGACGTAGAATCGCAATAGTGCTAAACTTTGGAAATTCTTAAGGAACAGAAATGTCCATAGGTATACCGGAGAAAAGGGA